ACACACGCAACACTTCGGCGGCCGTTGGCTGTCCACGCCGGAAAGCGGGCCGCGTGCGTGCGTCAGTACGCGCGTCCGTTCTCTCCCATACCGGTAGTCGTTCCTCCATCCGATTTACTGCATGCGGAAAGTGGGGCACACGATTTGCCTCTCTTTTTCTTCTCTCTAGCAAGCACTTTAATGGGTCAAATGAATAAGATAAGAGAAGCGCGCATGCTCTATTTTAGTCCATATAAAAAGGTTTTTGGAATATTGATATTGTTTGGATTGCCTGCAGTCTGAGTCCTCCGTTTGCACAGTTGACTAACAATTACCGAGAGGCCGCTGTGTACTTCATTTTTTAGGTCAAAGAATAGCTGGTTAGGAAATCTTTTGAAACCTGTATATCCACGCTCGACTTCGTGCCTAGCCTCTTGTCCGCTTTGATTACTGTTAGCTTATTCCCATTTACTCCCTTACAACTATGAGCCTAATGACCCTGTCTCTTCAGCCATGAATGAAGCTGCCTACCCACAGCGTTCATGGGGCAACGGTCCCTACGCCTCTGATCCGCAAGGCCGTCCGCTGTATGCGAATACAATGGCGCCTCACCACCCCCCACCAACACAACAACAACAGGAGACGCTGTACGGACCGCCGGGAATGGGCTATCCTCCGCCCTCAGGTAGTGTGCGGGGTATGCCACCAGCCTACCACCACAGAGGCAGCCCGGCTACTGCAGGTTATTACGCGGGCGGCTACAACATTGAGCCGCAGCAGCCGCCACCGCAGGCTGGTCCTATGACGTCACCAAATCCGCGCGCTTGTTATCCCACCAACACCCCATCCTCGATGGACACTACCACCAGCACCAGCGGTTACACCAGCCCTGGAACTGCAGGTCGAATGGCCCTCGGTGACGACTTCATGACTGGCGCGCCAGTCCTTGACGGTGGGGTAAAACCATCGGCCAATCCTTCGACGCCCACATCGTCAGGTGCACCGCCCGACCACCGCTGGTTTTCGTCGGCCCAAATGTGCCTGCCCTGAAGCTTTTTCGTAGCTCTTATGCGCCAGGCCTTGTCGCCTCTTTTCTATATACACACAATCACTTCTGCATGCACCCTCACGCTGACAACACCCACGTGCATGCATACACATGCACGCCTCTTCTCGATCACGATATTTCGAATGATTTTTCGCGCCATCCTGACCAATTGTCTATCTAAACTACTTTTTCTTCGAAATCCGAGGCCAACAGTATGAATTTCGATTATACATGAGTAAATTAAACACAAGGAAAGCAGTCCAAGGTAAAAACCGGTGGTTAGGATTGCCATCACTTGCTTGAGTTGTGTGTGTGTGTGTGTGTACGTGTATGACGAGGAATTGTGTACATACGTATATGCCGACTGGTTCCTTTTGGTAAGCAACTTTTTGTGCAAGCCTGTTCTATCTCTACTTCACCCCCTTGTCCCTCTTGCTCTATTCTCCCACCTCCAGCATGCTTTATTTACCGCATTAATATACAAATGACTACCCCATTTCTCTTGTTAGTTTTGGGCTGGTTTCAATGACGACTTTTGACGTCTTAGTCTTGAAAAATCAGCAGTGATACAACCAAAGATGAAGGGCGCTTGTGTAAGACACTCACTAGAATTAGCCAGATAAACTTGTAGTCATAGTTACGAGTGGAGAGCCTCCAGCCTCAGCGATGGTATTTCTCACAGCTGATAGCAGTTGTGATCTTACTCAAGATATTAAAAAAGAAGTAATGTGATTTACGTTCGCTGTCTTCAGTCCATAGGCTGTGGGAGTATGCTCTTTTGCAAAGCAATTCCTGTCATTTAGATCTTTTGGATAAGAAGAAAAGTCGTCTGTGTAAATCTTACTGAGTTCCGTAGTTATTCTATTGAGTCAACATTAGACCGTCAGCGACAGATTGATCCGTCAAAAACGGACTGTTGTGTGGACTGGCCAACGGAGTAAGTTTTTTCATCTGAATCTGCTCAGGACTGTAGGTGTATGTGAGTTCACTTTTAAGGTAACACAGTACGTTTCGAAACAGGTCAAGGAAATGGGGCCCTTTGGGTAGTAGTGAATTACAAATTGCTAGTCTATCGTAAAACAATCCTTTCATAGTGTAAAGGAAAACTCCTAGGCCGTTAGATTTTCCTTGTTCATGATGAATGCCCAGAAGCTTCATCAGTTGTGCATCATGGATGATGACAGAAGTGACCAGTTAAACATCTAGAGCGGTGGATATAGTAATTCCTCTATAAATATATATTATTGGGACTAAAGCAATTAATTAATTTAGCAGTTCTCCAACACAATACAGCCCAAGTTTCGACTGCTCTAACTCGGATTCACGTTTTTAATAATCATGTTGTGAATGCACAGCACAACGGCAGCTTAATGTGGGGACAAGGGTTTACCCGAGTTTGGAGGGTAGGCCAATGGCCACACTCAAGGAAATTGCATTCGCTAATTGCTACACTTAATGCATAACGATAGATGGCTACTTGTAGCAAGTACGGATCAAATTAGGTAGGACTCCGTTGGACATTTTATATTAAAAGTGCCTGAGGGGCACATGCAACTACTGATAAACAACAATGCAAACCACCTTCTTGTGCTTTGGGTCAGCTTCCATTAGGGCTGAAAATTGAACTAAATCTAAGTTTAGCAAAGTGCTTACGAGACGCATGAAATAATGCCATATCGCTTGATAATGGAATAATTGCATAGCCGCCAACACGTAACTGGAGGTTTAAAGTACAAATCACAGTCTTGTAAAAGCGCGGAGATCATGAGCGTGTGTGTTTGTAAAACATGTCCCCATACCTAGAAAGCACCCGTCAAGTTATGGGGTGTCAGGCGTGAGAACAGACCGCTTGCCTCAGAGACGCTACTGCGCCCTGCCACGTTGTGGTCAAATAACTGATTTTGTGTTGCTCCTGGAAAGATGGTGATGGTGACTCGGATCCAGGGGAAGTGTAGCGTAGGGAGAGCGAAGGCGAAGGAGGACAAGGGGAGAGGCAATGGGAGGCGAAAGTGGGGGAAGGCGCAGATACGCACGCGCGCACAAGCATGCGTGCTATTGATTATTTTGGTGGGCAGACGCGTGTGCGCAGTCTCATGCGCGCACCACGTCGATGCGTCATCGGACGTCAGACAGTCGCAGTCGGTGTTGTACGCCGCATTGAGAGCGTTGCTCGCGGCACGCTGCGCGAGCGCTGGCAGTGGCAGGCATGCCTACATACGGTCGCACATGCATGCGCGTGTGCATACGTCTGTGTTGGGAACCGGACGCGATCATCGCTCCGGTGGGGTGCGGCCATGCGCACGGGCGCCTGTTGGCAGCACTAAGGGAAGGCGTCGACGGCAGCATCTGCACTACAGTAAACTTGACCAAGATGAAAACCACAGGGCAAAGGACTCCTCCGGCCGTTGAGATCGGGTAATGAAATGAGTAGCAGTTAGGGTTTAGGTGCTGTCACAGCGGGCATGTCTACGAGGTTTTCCTCAAAGTATTGTGCTTCGGATCAGTCGAGCTTATGTCTGTGCAGATGGTGACTCTATTTTGCGTCATACAGTCGGTGAAATGAAGAACGATGGAATAATTTCGCATCTTTACCAGTAGGAACTGCGATTGAACAAATGTTTAAAATGACAGAAACAGTACATTATGTCGGGATGATTGTTTTTTGCAGAAATTTGCAGAAATTCCACCTTGGAAATGTAGCGAATCTAAAAGAACCCATTATACAGCTTGACGTTCAAAGATAATTTAAATTCCAAAGTTCACATAAAGTGCATTACTCGCCGGTTTTCTGCAGCCTTCTGTTTTAAGCCTTAACTTGACGGCTACATATCCAGAGATGGCAACTCGCAACCAGCGTGTGACTGCGCATTTGGGCGAAAGCAGA